TAGAGCCGCACCCCTCTACAAACTTTGACTTCCATGGACCTAGAAAGATGGATCTGTGCTTAGGGTGGCACTTAAAATATATTCCAACAGAAGCTTTGACTGTACAGGGTTTCACACGGCCATCTCTCTCTAACATGCAGGGCCGGCTCGCTCACTAGGCGAACAAGGCATTCGCCTAGAGCGGGCCGGCCCTTGGGGTGCCAAACTGCACCCCCCCCGCCGCCAAAAGCCCTCCATGCATCTAGTCCCTGACCAGGGGGCCACCACCTCTGCCTCTTTCTTCTTGGCGCCGCCCCCGTGGGGAGCGAGGGGATGGGGCACACATGGCTGGGGGGTCCTGGTCCCCTAAGGGGGAAGGAGAGATGGGAGGGGGGAAAGAAAAAGCAGAAGGGCCGCACTCGTAAGAGCCTTGTAGCCCCCTCTCCCCCCCTCACCCGATGTGCCCAGCTTAGCACCCGGGTTGAGTGCCGGAGAGGCATGCGGTGGCGCGGGGGGGAGACACAAGGTGAGGGGGGTGCCACAAGGCAGCCTCGCCTGGGGGGGGTGCTAGTTTCGCCTAGGGTGCCGAAAAACCTCGAACCGGCCCTGCTAACATCATCCCACCTCCCACCTTTCTGTTGCTTGTAACTTTAAGAATATTTGCCTAAAGGAGGTACGCACCAATGCATTTGACAAAGTGAGCTCTGACTCATGATGAGCTGGTGTTGGAATCTTTCAAGGTGTCACTGGAATTCTGCTTGGATTTTGCCGTAACAGGAGGAACACTGCTATTTCTCATGAACCATCATCAAAAGAAGCAAGGGGCGGGACTGGCTCAGCGCCACTGCTAAGGGTTGACAATTCTGGGCTGGGAAATTCTTTGACACTGGGGATACAGCCTGGGGAAAGTGGAGTTTGGGGAGGGATATCATGGGATATCATGCCATAGAATCTATCTCCAAAGTGCCACTTTTTCCACTGATCTCTGTTGCCTGGAGATCATTCTGGGAGATCTCCAGGCTGTGCCTGGAGGTTGGCAACTCTAGCCACTGCTCTGCTCCACCACGCAAGGGCTTCCTGCATGCCTGGCTGGGCTGGAGTTTGGATGGCTGAACCTTCAGCCCGCCAAGCACCAACCACAGTTGCAGGGATACTCCTGGGGGGTAGCCTGTCTTTCTGCAGGCGAAAACAAAGCCACCTTGCCCCCACCTCAATCGCTTAGCATTCTGGCATGCGTGAACTCAGATGCCACACTTATGCATAACCACATTTCAATACCGCTAAATTACTGAAGGGCCGGATTTCCTTTTATAAATAGGTGAGAGTGCCAAAGGTGTCTTTTTTTCTGTCTAGTATAAGTGTCTGCCTGTATGAATTCTGCGAGTCTTGCGAATCACTTTTCTCCTCCTGCTTTGGTGTAGAATTCCAGGAAATGGTGCACTCCTAAAGGCGTTGGAAATGACCATGCGTGACGAAAGGACTGACACACCTATAGGAGACCCTTCTCCCAAATCTTGTAAACCCAGGAATCCCTCATTATTTTGGTTGGTTTTTTTTTTGTCTCAACCGTGTGTTAACTGGTTTATAGATTTCGGTGAGGATCCGTGACTGCGCTAGTCAATGCAAGTGATGTTTGGGCTAGTGTAGATGTTTGGTAACCATCTTAGCAACCACTGCACTGGAAAAAAAATTAAACGGATATTTCTCACTGTGTTCTTGTGGCAGAGTCTATCCTTCTTCTAACCAACATTCTGAAAGGTGCAGTGGATTATCATGATGGCCCCCGGTTGCTGAAACACCAGGCTCGTGTACTTACTCAGCCGTGATGGTTGCACCCTTGGCCACTGGGAACATGGTCAGAACACCAATCTCCAGGGCCAGCGTCAGCATACCCTGAGGTGGGGCATCTGCTGGAGCCCAGGGCTTACAATGGGGCTTACAATGGGGCCCACTGCCACCGACCCACACCACCCATGTTCCCAGCTGTCCGGTGTCACTGGGGAAGGGCTGGGTGGGAGATGGCCAGGTCAGCCGTACTCCCAGCTGCATGCACACCAGCCAGGGCTGTCGGGAAATGCATGTACAGGTGGTGCAGGCAATTAAGCATGGGTGATGGAGAACAATGCACAGGCAGGTAGGGGGTAGACAGGGAGGCATGAGGTGGACCTGAGGGTGGGCAAATGGGGGTCCTTGGCCATTTCTGCCTAGGGCCCTCCTAAACCTGGAACGAGCACTGCCAATCTCCATGCTAGCCTTGAGATTCTAAACACCTACCAGTCCCCTCCTAGGGGCTGACTGACACCACATCTTACAATGGTTGTATGCTGTTTGAACAGTTTTGTCTTCCTTACTGTTGGGATTCAGGGGAAAACAGAAAGCCAAAACAGAAGGTGTTGTGGAGCACCTGTGGAGCTGATGGACAGGACAGTCCATTTCCTATCCCTAACTTCTTTTACTGTCCTTGTCCTACTGTTCATGAACAGGGTGTTGTGTGCGTGAACAGGAGAGGAGACAAGCGGCCCCCTTACACATAACTCATAACACTTAAAGCTGAAGTGTCGAACTCATTTGTTACGGGGGCCAGATCGGACATAAATGTCACTTTGTTGGGCCGGGCCACGTGTGCCATAAAATGTAATGCCAGGTACTGGAGATAGAAACTGTATAAAGGACAGCAGATGGTAAGCTCCGAGTTGGTGTATCCTCACTGCAAGGCCCCGTGGGCTGGGAGGGGGATGCAGAGGAAAACGCACATAGGCAGACTAGAGAGCCAGCAGTGCAGCACTGAGCAGATGCTCCCATGATGCTTGACTGCTTGACTGCAAACAAGGTTGTTCTGCCGTGCTGAAGCCACAATGGAGTGGCTCCCCCCACTCCCCCCCAGCACTCCCTCCCTTGCATCAGTTGCTCGCGGGCCGCATAAGAGCCCTGCATGGGCCGGTTCTGGCCACCTGGCCTTATGTTTGACACCCTAGGGTTAAAGCCTGCAGGGGAGTTAAGGCCTATTTCCAAGCAAGGCAGGAAGCAGGTGTGGATGGGAAGCTACAGACAAAAAAGGAGCTGCAAGTAGACCTGTTGTTCCAAAGAAAACCCCAAAGTGAAAACACATAATACCTTTTATTAGGACCAACCAAAATGATACAAAAGAGCATGGAAGCTTTCAAGTCCCCAAGTGTCCTTTGTCTTGCTGAATTTGTTGCTGCAGCTGCTTTTAACTTTCAGTCTTGTGAAGAATTCTACAGAACTCGAAAACTTGCATAGTGCCTTGCATCACTTTGGCTACTATAAGGCATTACATGGCTTTTATTTCTGGCTACAGATAAAAGGCAGAGGAAGAATGAACCCTGTTGGCAGGCTCCAACAAGAAAGGGAACAAAGCATCCAGGAGCAGAAAAGAGTTAGGCATACGCATTCCCCTTTCCCCTGAATGACACCAAAGGGTCCCATAGTTTGTCCTACCTCCTTTCCTTATACTCGAAAACATTTGCACTTTGGTGGGGAGGCTGAGGTCCAGAGCCTCCTTTTCCTAGAGAGGGAATGACTGTTCAGACAATCTAGGGTTGCCAGCCTCCAGGTGGGGCCTGGGGATCTCCCGCTTTTACAACTGATCCCCAGCTGACAGAGATCAGCTCCCCTGGAGAAAATGGCTGCTTTGAAGGGTGGACTCTATGGCATTGTACTGTGCTGAGGCCCCTCCCCTCCACAAACCACACCCTCTCCTGGCTCCACCCCCAAAGTCTCCAGGTATTTTCCAACACAGACTTGACAATCTAAGTCATACGTGTAGGGTACGCCTGAGATAGTGCTTCCTATTTCACAACACCACTCCAGCACCAAGATCTGGACCCTTCCCCAAGAGCATCAACCTTATCTTTGTCACAGGACTGTTGTCAGGATTAAAGATGTTGAACAAGCGACAAACTGGGGGAAAGTAGTAGAAAACCCACTAAAACACTTAGATATGTATGCAAATACATAAATACTTATATATTTAGATACTATATCAAAATTTACAAAATTTATATGCAAGCCATATTAGCCATAACAATACAATGTCTCAGTGCTATATAATAGAACACAAATTGCAATGTTGCTAGCCAGAACAATCATTAGAATATTGCTAATCCATTACAGGTAAGTTTTTTACAAGTTCAAGTTTCAAGTTTACAAAGCAGCCGGCTTTCGCTTGGTTTCGTGTCAAAACTTCATCAGAAGCAGAACAACTTATATTGTGTCATAATATTTGATAGTTTGAAATTGCACCTTTCTGATTTCTAGAAGCACCTTCTTCTCAAGGGTTGCTACAATTAGTATTGGGACTAGCCCTCAATTCCCATGAAGAATTGCCTTTAGCAGCAGAATAGAGATACATTCTTGGCTTCAAAGCTTAGCAGTATACAGAAAGGTCCAATATGAGGTCTTTGTGCATGTTCCTCCATAAGGAAGAATTCAAAAACAAGTGGACTGCGATCCTTAATAAATGCTCGTATGACCTCATGCTCTTGATAATTGACCAGGCAGCACAAGAAGCTGAAATAATGAAAAAAGAAATTCAGGAATTGGAGGATAGACTGAAGGGTCTTACTAGCCCGAAACCTTTAATACTAAACTTAAAGAATTAAAAGAAGAGCTTAAAACATATGAAAATAGGACACGAGAAACCAAACTTTAAAAGTTTGAAAGAGACAACAGGGACTATGCACTCAACAGGGTGTATAAATGGTGTTCCCCTAATGTAAGTTCCATCAAGAGGGTGTCTTCGGCGGACTCTAGGGACTCAGTATCAGAAATGGAAACTACAGAGGCAGAGGATTCGGCAACAACTTCCGGGGAGGAAGGGTCTATGAGTAGACCTTTTTTAGACAGATGCACAAAGACCAAGGCAAGATAAAATCTTTCATACAATCAATCCAAACGGGGCAGAAAGAAAATTTAGTGGTGAATTTACCTAGTAGGAACTTGACTGCCGAAACATTGGCCGTGCTAGATTTAGGACCAGGATTTGTTTCCACTCCAAAGTATAATGCATTTCAAATAAGGATAGACATATTCAAATTGATCAGAACTTTGAAATCAAAATGCTTCTTTGCAGACACAAGTTTTGTGGACATTACCCCTTTTAGAAATAAGTCTCAGTTTATCCCGACGAGGTTCAGCACCCTTCTTCAATCACTGTTTTTGAGAGACGGGTGTTGGAGGACATTAGTTCTACAGAACAACACTGCTCCCCAATTAGGTATAATTTAACAAGAAAACAAATGGACATTTAAAAAAATATATCTGAGGATCGGGAGATGGTGGTCAAAAGTGCGGACAAAGGGGGAGCGCTAGTAATACAGGATTGCAAGGATTATGTCCAGGAAGCCACGAGACAATTGGAGGATGTTACATTTTATAGACGGATAGCCTATAATCCCACCGGAGAAGTTCTTAATATCATTAAGGTAACAGTGAGAGAGGCTTTGGCCATTTATTATATATCAAAACAAACAGCAGAGTTTCTTATCAACTTGTATCCAAGGGTGCCCATTTTTTACATCCTACCAAAGATTCACAAACCAGGATCACCATCACCATCACCTGGCCGACCGATTGTTTCTGGCACAGAATCAATTTTTGAACCCTTATCCAAGTTTCTTGATTCTTTCTTACAACCATTTGTTAATACACTTCCTTCATACCTAGGCTTACCAAATGCCGGCGGGGGATCTGCAGCTCTTTACAGGATCCCTGCCGCGGGGGACAGCGAAACGCGGTGCACCCGCTGTCGCCAGGATGTGACGCTATGCGTCGCTCTGGCAACGGGACTCCAAACAGCCCCGTTGCCAGAGCGACGCATAGCGTCACATCCTGGCGACGGCGGGTGCACCGCGGATCGCCGGCCGCCGCGGCAGGGATCCTGTAAAGAGCTGCAGATCCCCCGCCGGCATTTGTTAAGCCTATTCATACCTCAAAGACACCAGGGATTATATCTCTAAAGAGAGAAGGGAATCCCTCCCCCCCCACACTCATTTTTTGCTAGATTTAATTGACATCAGTTTTGAGAAAAACTTTTTTCCATTTCCAGGACACCTTTTACTGGCAGATAAAGGGAGTAGCCATGGGGAGTGCGTTTGCCCCCAGTGTAGCTAAATTATACATGGGAGAGTTCAAAGATAAATGGATATTGAGTAGTGTGAATAATCCATTCTACACTCATGTGTTGCACTTTAGGAGATACATTGATGATTTGTTCTTTATTCTAGACGATTTTTCTATAGTAGAAGATTTTGTCATCTGGCTCAATTCGGTCCATGACTCTATTAAATTTTCCTGCAAGTCGGACGTCTCCCGTATAGATTTTCTTGACACCAAAGTTTTTGTACATGAAGGACGGTTAGCGATACGTCCCTTTAACAAAGAAACTGACAGAAACTCATACTTACACTTTGCATCACATCACGTAGG